GAGCAATCAAGTCTAGAACCATTAAACATTTCCGCCTTTAGTTTTCAGTGTGTTTTCTTTTGTGACTTCTTTCAGTTTCCTTTGTACAATAGTGTGTGAGAGTTTATCCATATATAAACAGTATGTATCCATGTATATATTTTCCATGAAATAAATCATCCAATTTGCTCCTGTTCAAAAAATTTTCTTTTCTTTATCTAATATTTTCAGTATTTTCAGGCAAAGGACTTCTGTCGACAAAAAGATTAAATATATAGATTTTATTTAGCCAGACATTGTAGATCCTAGAATTTTCTTGAATATAACCAGTACAAGCAACCTTAGTATTAAATTAGCAATTTTTTCTATGAGTTAACTCAAACTGTTGGCCTGTTGGCCCGTTCTTGCCGGTGTTCAAGCATTTTTATAGGGCGTTATCAGGTTCGGCAATCATTTCTGTGATTTAATTGTTAAATTTATTCTATGTTATTTTGCATGCTTCTATCTGGTTAGATCCAACTCAATTTTGGTATGAGACCCTATATTGTTTCATTAAATTTAATTTATATATAAGATCTTTTGTCTAGAGAATTCTATAAGTCCATATTAATATTAAACCATTTGTTCAAGGATCTTTCAGTATGCTTATTTTAAAGCTTTTATGATATAATAACATATTTCGTTGGGCCAAAGTAACAATATAAATTGTTGTGTGGTCTAAAATAGAAAATAGTCCATTTTAGAGAAATATTTGGGTAGTCTTTTCATTTGTAAGAAAAAAGTTATGTGGTCCCCTCATTTTATTGATAAATTAAGAAGTTGACTTCATCTCATGGTAGTTGTTGGGCCTTAAGCCCATGTATTCGTAAAAATCCCAAATTTAAAAATATTTAGGCTTTTTAAAAATAATTTTCATTTTAGGTTTTCTTTTCTTTTTAATTTTTTATAAGGGTTCATTTGGTTAGCATCAAGTAACCAGAAAAGAAAAGAAACCGAAAAATATTTAAATTTTTTGGAAGTTTGGTTAGAGGGAAAGTGAAAGTTTTGAGGAAAGTAGGATTCCCGCATCTGAAAATTTTCCTCAAAATTTTTCATGCAAAAAACACAGGGAAATTTACTTTCTCGCAAAAGTTGTGCACTTTATATATTACTTTTCTATTATACCCATGTTAGTTGTCTCTCTTCTTCTTTACTTAATTACACAGGCTTCTTTGAAAATGAGAGTTTATTTCTTTTGTAAATTGCTTTTTTTTTTTTTTTTTTTATTTTATAAAATCTTGTATTACTAAATAAATTGTTTGTATTTTTTTATATGTGCATCAAAAATTAATTAATTTTTTCCTTTTATTACTGAATTATTTTTTTTCAATTTTTTTTTGAAATGTCTTAAATAAGTAAAATATTTTTTTCTATAATTGATAATGATTAAGAGTTATTATACATATACATAACTATTTGTTGATAACAAGAGTGTTAGGTGAAAACTAGTCTACATTATCTTAACACAATTTGTTTCATACCTAACATCAAACATTATCATGAAATAAATAATTGATGATTCGTAAATAGTTTACATAATCTGTCTATGACTTTATTTTCTCAATGAGAAAGTTGTAATTAGATTTATAATATCCAGTTACATCATTTACAAATAAATAATAAATAATAAAATTTAAATACTTAAACTTTGATAGTCCACTTTACCAAAAACTTATATTTCTTACCTTAAAGATCGAGAATTCAAGTTTATACAGGAACAAGTGAATATATATAGAAAGAGGAGAAAGCAAATATATATAGAGAAAGGATAAAGCAAAAAAATTGTATTATGATATCACATATTATTTTATTCCATATTTCACTATTTCCTTACTAAAATAAATAATTAAGTATAAATAATATATATCAAACATAAATTTATTTATTTTTTTACTATTTAAAATTATAAGGGTATTTTCGGTAAGTAGAATCATTTTCTTTTCATTTTCATGCTATCAAAACTAATAAAATAATATTTTCTTACAACTTTCTTCAAAATATTTTCTCCTAACCAAATGCATGATAGAAACTTGATTTTCCTTTTTTTCACTTCACTTTCTTTCACTTTTACTTTTCATAAAATTTGCCGTCTAAGTAAACGAGCCTAAAGGAGAAACTTAGAAAATTTTGAATATTATGCAACATTATAATAATGAATAGGTTTCTTTTACAATGATTTTCATTTTAGATTTTTTTTTTTTTCTCTTCAATTTTTTAAAGGTGAAGTTTTCATCTCGTGCATGCAGCTACAAGTTCACATGATAAATTGGTCAAGTATGATTGTGGTCTCATTGACAAGTAGATATTGGGTGCACCGTGCACACCACTTTTGAACTATCCAGTTGTTGCAAGGTAATAATGTTAAAAATAATCTATAGGTGTGTTCGGTTCCATAAAATTGGAATCTCGGAATTGGAATTGATTAAATTTGAGAAAATTTTGATTTAATTTTTTTAGTTATTTTTATCAAATTTCACAGATTCCAATTCCAAGACTCCAATTCTATGCAGCTTAACACACCCTTAATATTATTCCCCTTAATATAAGATTAAAATTAATACAAATAACTCATTGAACATATTGCTACTGAAAATTATTTTTAAAAAAAAAATTTAATGGTGGTCTATAAAAATATGAAAATACTTTGAAACAAATTTTAATTTTTTTATTTTTAAAATTAAAAAGGAAAAAAAAAAATCTAAAATGAAAGTTATTTTAAAGAATTTAGTAAGCCATTATCACAATTTTTTCATTTTACTCGATTTAATAAACGATTTAAAGGTTAAAAGGATCAGTGGACAAGTCTGGTCAGACTATCCATTTACCTTTTATCTTCTTTCTTTTTGGAGCATAATTATGAAAATGGAAGGAAAAGAAATGAATACTAATGGATGAAATGAATAGTAATGGATGGAGAGGATAAATTGCTTTTGGTATGAAATGTTGGAAGAAAGAAAGGAAAATTGTCTTTTATTTTATTTTATACCTACTAATTTTTTAATTTATTCATAAACCTATAAAATTTAAATTTTATCTCCCTAAACTTATAGAAAAACTTTACTATTACCCCCACCATATTATTTTATTAAAAGCCTCCCCACTCAAATACTTTCCTGGTCCATCCAATAACATAATAAAGGTTCCAATAATGAAATGTCTTATTTTTAATGAAACTTTATTAATACTAAAGTTACTTTTTTATTTTTTTATTTTTTTGTAAAAGACAAAACTTATGAAAAAGTCATGGTTGTAATTTACTAAAATAATTTTTGTATCAAATATAATTACTTTCTTTTCTTATTTTCTTCCATTAAGGCCTCATTTGGATGGGAGGATTTGGGGGATGGGAGGATTTGGGGGATAGGGAAAAAGAAGAAAAGAAAAGAAAGGATGGGGAATGTTATGTTTGGATGGGATGATTTGAGTTGAAAAGAAATGATTGGGAAGGTCATATTGTATTGCTCTAAAAATGAGAAGATTTAGAGGGAAATGAAAGTGAATTAGTGATACTTTTATACCATTGGCTTAAAAAATCACATATAAAATTATAAAGAAAGGGTATGATAGTAATTTTCTTTCATTTATCTCATCCAAACAACAACACTAGCATTCTTTTTCTTTACTCTCCCATCTATTTAATCATAAATGTAAATTATTGTTATCATTTCATTTATTTTCTCTTATCTTATAAGTAAATCATAACTAATATTGTCCTTTCAATTATTTTCCATTCTTTGTATCCAAACTAAGCCAAACCGACCAAATTAGTTAACACTTTCTTATCTGGTAACTAAAATTGTCCTTTAATTTCTTTTCTCTCATCCGTAATTCCGTATCCAACCTAAAACCAAATTGGTTAACACTTTCTTCTTCTTTCCTTTCCTTTCTTTATTTTCTTTGGGACCTTTCCTTGCTTTAGGCTATGTTTGGTAGGGTGAGTTTGAAGGGGGAGGATAACATTAGTTATGACAGAAAGGGAAGGGAAGGGAAAGGAAGGATAAGTTTAATCCTCAATCGTGTTTGGTTGATTAATGAAAGAAAAGAAAGGGAAGGATAACAATCATGTTTGAGAAAAGAAAAGAAAGGGAAGGATAATAATAAATTTACTATTATGCCCTTTTATATTTTAAAAGATGAATTTTGAGATTTAAATATGCAACAACATTTTTGCCCCAAGAGGAGCCGGCTTAAGTAAAAGTGGAGGAGGCTCCAATATGAATGGAGTCGGCTCAAGTAAAAGTGGAGGAGGCTCTACTTTAAGTAGAGGAGGCTCCAATATGAGTAGAGCAGGCTCCCAAAAATGGGAGGCGGCTCCTTTCAAGAAAAATTGTTTTGGGAACCAATTTTAGCTACTATAATGAAGATCAAGTGTGTGTTTTTTTTTCCTTTCAGTTTCCATCGCTGTTCCAGTTTGGGTTCGCCGTCGCCATCCGCCTCAAAAAATCAAAACCCACATCTTTTAGTTTCCATCGCTATTCCAGTTCGGGTTTGCCATCTGCCTCAAAAAATCAAAACCCACATCTTTTAGTTTCCATCGCTGTTCCAGTTCGGGTTCGCCGTCCGCCTCAAAAAATCAAAACCCACATCTTTCAGTTTCCATCGCTGTTCCAGTTCGAGTTCGCCGTCCGCTGTTCGCAAGCTTTCCGCGCTAAATACATGTTCAATATCAAGTGCAATTTTGAGGGTAAAAGTGGCATGACAAATATTATATGAGCCATTGCCTTTCCTTTCCTTCCTTATCCTTCCATTTTTGGAAGATTAAAGAAATTACTGTACATTGTTATGAAGCACCCATCCAAACCCTTCCCTCTCCTTCCCTTTCTCTCCACTCACCTTACCCAAACACAATTTTTTTATAACCCTCCATCGCCTTCCCTTCCCTTTCCCTTCAAACCCACTCTACCAAACTGAGCCCTTATTTTCTTTTCCACCGTCCCAAACATAACTTTGGATAAAGTTTACACAAGGCCGTTCTGTTCATCTCCAAATGAAAGCATAGAGACGGGATAGACTCCAATGGCGTCAACCGTCATCTCTCCTCCATCCACAACCTAATTTTCTTCTTCAGCGACTCTCTCACCCCAAAACCTCTGTTTCTTCTCTCCGTGTCCATTTGAGGACCTTATCATCTTCCATACTCGGTCGGTTTTAGAATTACCATGCATCAACGAAACCTCACAAACAAGTCCTGTGACCATAAGGAGCAAGAGAAATCGAAGTGTAGTGAAATGGTGAGAATCTGCCCCTTCTGTTCTTCCCTCTGCACTCCTCTTTGACTGCGATGGTGTGCTTGTCCACACAGAAAAAGAGGGCCATAGGATTTCTTCTGCAACACTTTCTCAGAAGTAACACTCGACTGTCTCTGGATTATTATTTTTAATTAATAATCATGATGCTTATCACTTATCGAATTAATTTGATGTTTTATCAATTGGGTTTTTGTGTACACACTCTCTCTTGATTTTTGATCATTTATTATCATGCTCATCACTTTTCGAATTAATTTGATGTTTTATGAATTGGGTTGTTGTGTATATATGTGTGTTTTGTGTTAAATGCCTCAATTTTCTCATGGATTGATCACATAATGAATTTGGTTGCTCAGAGGGAATTGGGTGTTACCTGGGATGTGGAGTTATATGGCAAATTGCTCAAAATTGGAGGTGAAAAAGAAAGGTTTTCACTTTTCTAAAGAAGTTCATAAGTAGTTCTTTTGAGTTATATAAGTGTTACCATTATGGTTTGATTTTGTTGGTAAATGTAGTAGATGGTGTAACTATTTGAGTTGAATTTGTTAATGGGCTGCTTTCATATCTTTTGTTAGTGAGGTACTTCAAGAGTTGTTTTTATTAGTGGTTGATTCCATTTCTTTTAAGATGACAGCCTACTTTAACAAGATGGGTTGGCCGGACAAAGCTCAGAGCGAGGAAGAAAGGAAGGAATTTATAGCTTTACTTCACAAGCTAAAGAGGGAGTTGTTCATGGCCCTTATTGAGAAAAAGTTGCTGCCTCTTTGGCCTAGAGTTGCAAAGTAAGCTAATGTTTGATTTTGCTTAGCTAAGCTGCGATTTTGAGCTTGGTAGTTGCTTTCATTTACTTGTAAATATTGGTCATAATCACTTACCACACCAATGTTCAGAATGATGGCTGTCCTGAGATCATGAATTGATGGGATAATGATGCAATAGCATTTTACACCAGTGCTGACTATTCTAGGAACTACATTTTGTTTCAGTTCATGAGTGGTTAAGTACACTCTTGTATACAGTACTAACTCGCTTTGATCCTGAATCCTTAGAAATTAAAAACCTAAATATTCCTTTATTCCATTTTGGGTCATTTTTTTTTTTTTTTTTTTTTAAAAAAAGAAAAGAAAAATTCTTTTCCCTCTTTGGTAAGACATCCATGTCCCAGCAAGGACAAATTGGGTCCCAAATTTATCAATAACCTTAAGGAGAATAATGAACAATTCCTTCACGAGTCTTACCTGTTCTGCTCAAACAAAGACATTCAAGAGTCGGACACACTCTTGAAAGGTGGTGTAAGATGTTGAGTGAGTATGCTTGGTTGTATGATTTCACTTTTCTCTTTTGATTATTTAGTTTCCAGCCTTCCATTATGTCAATAATTTTGGTGTTGAAAACATACGTAGGCATTCCTTTTCAATACTTCTCATTAGAAGACACATGTTTGAGACTTGAACCCCTGACCTGCCTTTGGGAAGTAAAAGGGTGATACCGCTAAGCCACTGACTCATTGGTGTTAATTGTTCAATTGGTTAAGAAGCGTTGTCTTTAAGTTTCCTTAGAGATTGCTTAGAAATCGAATTTTGGTGTTGAAAACATATGTAGGCATTCTTCTTCTTCCTTTTATTTTATTTTTTCTTAATTGGTACTCATACACCCCCTTCCAAGGAATTGATTGCACCCAAGAGGAGTCAAACCTTAGACCTAATGATACATAAAATAATTCTGTGGTTAATTCATTTAGGAAAAAAAAACCCTTAGACCTAATGCTTCTCATTAGAAGTTTTCAAGTTATTTGTTTAATTGGTTAAGAAGTGTCATCTTTAGAAATCAGATACTCTTGATGGCTTTAATATATTTTATTATTGTTTTTAAGAAATACAATGGTTTAGAGTTTTTGAAGTTACTTTGGGAGATGGTTCTAGAACCAGGTGCTCTTGAGGAATTAATTAATTATTTGATAACCCTTTAGCCTCTTTTAACAATTTACTTTCTTGATGTGAATAAAATAAATTACTACAATACAAAGAGTTCTTTTAGGGTAAATGTCAAGTTGTCCATTCTTCGTGATTATAGTAAAGAAGCTTTGATCTTCTTATTTGTTTGAGTTAGTTTATTAAAAAAAAAAAAAGTATAGTATTAATCATCAGATCAACTAATTGGTTTGACAAGTGGAATGTCTCTGGTGATTTCAGGTCTCTGCAATGGTTTCATTCTTGCTGGGACCCGAGCAAGCAGAAAAAATTAAGATATTTGCAGGAGATGTTGTTCCTTGTAAAAAGCCTAATCCAGTAAACTTCTTGTCCGGCCTAGTATTTTTGTAGTGTTTGAATAATATATGGAAGTTATATTATTTGATTTTGTTCTATCACAGTTGAAATTTTGTTTTGTTTTGTTTTGTTTTTTTTTTTTTTTTTTCTTTTTCTTTTTCTTTTGTGAATCTCAAACATATGGCTTCATAATTTGAAAACCTTACAAGTTCGCTATATTTGCAATGGAGAAGACTTGTTTCAAGTGCTATAAGAAACAAAATATGCCTCTCATTTGCCAAGTAAACAAGACATGATGTTTCCAAATTTTTGTTGCCTTATGGTGCCTCCAAATATGTACTCATGTTGAGTAGTTCAAAAACGTCCTCTCTGATTGGTGAAGAAACTGACGACTGTTTGCATATATTACTTAGTTTTAGTAGATGTTTTTGAAGTCCATCATGTAAGAATAATGACTCACCATATTAATAATAATGACACACCACATATTTGTTTAATCCTCCGACATTACCCATTTTGGTTTGTCTTCCATTGAAGCTATCTCATTGATTCTTTTGCTTTATGACATTTCCTATTTTGGTTTGTCTTCCATTCAGTATATTTCCTATTGTTTCCATCTCGTTGATTCCTTTGCTTTATGATCTTTTATTAACTTATGATTTCTTTACACTGAAAGCTATGAATGATAGCTATAATTGATCAGCCAATTTGCAATTCTTCTACTTGATGGTCTGTAGTTAAGTTGCCTATAAATAGCAGAAGCATCGGTCCTCTCTCTACCCCATTCTAATAGAAGTGTAGTTGCCATCTTTTATACGCATTATAGATACAACACATAAGTGAGTAAAGTGTGTAGAAGGGATTAAGGGAGAGAAACCATCTTCTAGATCTTCTTGATTAATCAAAGAGGTGATTATTGTTCATTCGATATTTCAACATCTTCGCACATATGGATCAAGGTATTTATGATTATACATTATTTATGCCAAACATACATTAATGTTTTACTAACTAGTGTTGATCACGAAGTTCAAGATCCAAAATATAAATTGTGATTAATAACCACACAATTAATTATGATGTCATGTTTTCTAATACATCATTCTTTGGCTTTTACTTTGTCATTATTGATGAATTGTGGAAGTGCTGTAAAGATTATGATATATTTCTTCACTTTTCGCTGTTGTGTTTTGGTTGAGGACAGCGCAATAGGTCTTGCAGCCGCCAAAGCTGCTAGCATGAAGTGTATCTTGACAAACAGTGGGTAAGTTATTTCCTTTGTTCCATAAACAGTTTTTTAGTCATTGGTGGTTGTTTCCTCTAGTCTATGTGCATACTTTCCTTTTCCGTGTCACCCCTATGCTTAATTTTTTGTATGAAGGATGGAAAATTAGATGAAAGATGACTACAAACCAATCACCTATACTTGGAGAAACCAATGAGCCTTTCTTTCATGTTGTTTGGTTGACTTGAAAGGAAATGAAAAGGAAGGGAATAGGTATTTTGTGATTTGAACATCATACACCAAGAATTGAAAAGGCTGTTTAATACATTAAATAGATTCCTTTATAGGATTAAACAACAATATACCTTTATGCATATGCACACATTCATAAAATGTTGTGTGCCCTGTATGTATGTGTATACCGTGTGCATATATGAAAGGCGCTGCCCAATTTTGGCAGAAGTATCTGAGGGGCTTGGCCTCCCTTCCTTTCCGCTCCCTCTCCCCCTACCAAGCCCTCTCTCTATGTGTGTGTACATATAATTGTAGTATCTGTTCTTTTCTTTTTTAGATGGATTTTTGGTTTATCTGTAAGAACATCAAAACAATTCATCATATTATATATTCTTAAAAGACGACTTTAGTGGGGCTTGAATTCCACACTGCTTGCAAAACACTCTTTTAGAGAAACTTTTAGAAACAAGAAAGTTCAGATAATGTGATGTGTCATAGGTATATTTTGTTAGTCAGATTCAATTTGAAGCTATAATTTATAATTTGTTTCCAAAATGGTGTCCAAAACAGTAGTCAACAGCTACAGAATTTAGTAAACCAACATTAATATAAGATTGAACAAGATCTGATACATATTTTGGGGTATTTTTCTGAGAATTCTCAATTTCCCAAGGTGATAGAGAGAGAGAGAGAGAGAGAGAGAGATCATATTAGCTATGATGGGCTGCCTTGTTTCGAGATCATGGTACACAAGAAAGAGACCAATGACTAGCATGAGCTAACATCACCTGGATTTCATGGATTATATTGGTGATCAGCAGAGGAGCACATTGCACTCTTTTTATAATAGATACAAAAGAGTTTGAGAGTAAGAATTACACGATCCACAGTTATTTTTTGGAAGAGAGAGAATACATCATTCATTTCTATATTACATATCCTATGAAATGAAGTGATTTCTAGAAAAGAGGGTTCAGAAATTCAAATTAATATGCAATAAGTCTTTTATTACCAAAATTTTCTTTTACGCTGACAGTTAGATTTTGTGGGGGAACCCTAAGCCTATTAGGTGTTTCCACTAAAAAAAAAATTGGTTCAGAATGGGAAAATTCGGTGATCCAGATTTATCACGCCTTTCCAAGAATTTCAATATTTGAATTGGAGGGTTCATATACGAAGACTTGTCAGAGTATACTAAGAATTGAGTCTTGTTTTGTTCAATGTCCAGTGGTAATATAGATATGTTAGACATACGCTGATGTACATAGGTTAAATTGATTATGATAACAAGGAATTCGGGTTTGATTGCAAGTCAGGAACTCATAAGAAAATCGTTGGGATTTTTGAATAGGTTATGGCATACTCAGATCCAGTAAGTGCATAAAGGGAGTAAATAGAAGTAAATGCTGCTCCAAGAAAGCCACGGATTCTACTTGCTGCCATCCAAGTAAGAGCAGTCGCAACTTCACATGAGCTCCGCGAGTGGGATGATATGATGGTGTTCTACTGTAGATTGCTGGGGGATTGTGTGACAGCTTGCTGACCTGCATTGTGCGAGCATGGGACTACAGTAAGCCATTCTTTGTGACGCCAGCCACGAACACCTTCATGGAATAATCCTTTTATAGAGCGGAATTTCTCTAGTCTCACCCGTGACTAAGAGGCTAGCTTGCGGAGATTATGGAAATAGTGCAATGGCTGAACCATCTCTCATTTTCCCAGTAGTGAGACTCTTCCTAGAATCACGGGCTCAATCTAGTGGCGGAAATGTTCCTTTACGAGTGCCTAAAATTTTCGGGAATCACGGGTTCAATCTAGTGGCGGAAATGTTCCTTAATGAGTGCCAAAAATTTTCATTTGTAAAAATGATGGAATTGATTCAGCTAATAGGTATAAAATGCTAGATGTGGAGATGCATTGTTGTTTCTTGTTCATGTTAGGTCTATGTAGCATATTTAAGTCTAGGGCAGTGGGACTGTGGGAGTGTGTGCATAATATGCGCCCCTCTACATGGGTTGGGTAAAGCTCGGACTTTCAACGGTGGATGTGGCCTTAAGGAATTCTTTGCACTCAAGAGATCGAACTATTAGGTTTTCATTGTAGACGCGCAACATCACTTGGCCTATGAATATAAGATCAATATGCCACAGTTTTCTGGTATGAAAACTCCGAAAAAAAAAAGGAAAAAAAAATCATTTTTGAATTTTATTTTATAGTTCTTTGAAAAGAGTTTTTTTTTTTTTTTTTTAAAAAAAAAAAAATTATTTTCTTAGTCCTTAAGAATTGTTTTACGAAAATTGAAACAAATACATTTTAAAATTTTTGAAAGTATGTCACATTCGAGTGTTTTGTACTTTCTCACACCCTGAGTATGCACTACTTTAGTGTCTCTCTTCAAATTTAGAAGGCTTCTCTTCAAATTCACAAGGCTAAAGATTAAGGCTCTATCTTAAATCATATTTGAACTATTGGAGGGGGACTATTCATTGTCTAAAAGAATACTCGTAAAGAATTTTATCATTTTTATTGAAATCCATATAGTTGAATTTTCAAAAAAAGAAAAAGAAAAATGAGTAGACTAATTTGAACTGAATAAACATTCCTTGTTAAAGGATTATTCTAATTTTATTTATTTTTATTTTTTTTCAATTTTCTCTATAAAAAAAAAAAAAAGTGGGCTTGGGCGATCAGCCAATTGGGCCTGCAGTAGGAAAAATTGGACCGGATTTCCTTTAAGACGGTCTCCAAGTCCGTGTCCAAATTTCAAGTTTCTTAATCCTAGTAAAGACATAAGGAAAGAAATCCCACACAAGGAGAGAAATCCTAGTAAGACACAAACAAAAATCCTAGTACCTTCCAACTTCGGAGAAACCCTAGCTTATTTACATCTATCGCACATGTATATAAATTTGCTCTCTTTTTCTATCTCATATCTCTAATCTGTTATTAGTCTTCTTCACTGCAACTCCTTCTCAATATCGTCTCTTTTGTGAGATCCCTAGGTAATCTAGGGTTTGTGGCCGCTTCTGTATCTCTATATGACATAAGATATCATTAATCTTCTTCACTCTCCCTTTTCTTGAAAAATGCTTTGTAGATTTATGTGTTGATTTTGTAGAAAACTGTGAAATCAAATTCCATGCAGAAAACAACAAGACTCGCCTCAATATGTTGTGCTAAAAACGCAAGGTACTATCTTTTTACTTATGTATTGATTTGTATGTTTCTATTTATTTTATTTTTGCATAGAGAAACTCTATTACAAAAATTGAGCAGTACTGTGATGCATGCTTTTGTTATCACACTTTGTTATAATTATTATTATTTTTATTTTTTCTTTAGTTGCAATAGTGATAAGGATGATAACGAAGGGTTGTGTTTGGAGGATTGCATTAGTGGACTTCATGATGTTTTACTTATTTCAATCTTGTCCTTATTGACAATGAAAGAAGCTACAAGAACTAGTCTGCTATCAAAGAGATGGAGGTATATGTGGACTTACATTACTGCTTTGAACTTTGATGCCTTACATATTATATATGGACTGAAATTGGGAGATAAACGACTTGATGTAGAAAGGCCTTTGTATTTGATTTGGGTAAATCAAGTCTTGAAATCGTACAATGGTTCAAGTTTAGATGAATTCAGAGTTCAAGTTGATCTCGATGAAACTTGTAGATTTGATATTGACAATTGGGTTAACTTTGGAATCGAAAAGAGAGTTAAAAGGCTTGATTTAGACTTTTCAGACATTAAACATTGTACTAGAAAGGAAGAGGATTACATTTATCATATTACGAATCACCCCCGTGGATTTACTAGCTGCAATTCCCTGACCAATGTCCAACTGAAATACGTGAATGTAACTGGACAAGTTCTCGAGTACTTTTTAACTAACTGTCCATTTTTGGAATAATTGACTGTGCACAAATCTGATGGTCTCGTCAATCTGAAAGTTTCAGAGCTATCATTCAAATTGAAGCGCCTGTCAATAACTGACTGCTTCAATGTGGAAAGTATTTAGATTTCTGCAATGAATCTAGTGTCATTTAAGTACTACGGACCAAAATTTAGCCTGCCATTCAAGAATGTCCAGCCACCAGTGGAAATGTTTATCGGGGGTGAGTATTGCGATAATTTAATTTGTAACTTTTTGAAGATTGCAAGCTATCTTTCTCAGCTTGAGAGCCTTACGTTGCACTTGGCTTACTATGATGAGGTTAGTAAGTTTAACTAATTCATTTTATCTCCCCCTTCTTTTTTTATTTTATTCTTTTTTTAACATAATTATCTATCTTTGCTGATTTACTTTTTCTTTGGTTTATTCAGAATAGTATTGAAGATGTTAAATTTCCTGTATTTAATAAGCTCAAGCAACTGGAGTTGATAATTAGTGCAGGCGATAATGAAAGCCTTGCTGGTTTTGTTCCCCTGATAGAGGCATGTCTATTCTTGAATAAATTTGTGTTGCAAGTAGTAAGTCTTACTTTACAACATGCATTTTAATACCGTGAGGTTTATTGCTTTT